TAATCGCAAGCTTGGCGAACAGTTTTGGAGAATTTTATGCTTCCCCATTCAAAGAGATAGGAGCTGCACTTGCATGCCACAGCTTTTGGAATGTTCTACTCTATGAGGTATTAGTGTGGATAAGCACCGCCTCCGCAGAAGAAAATCGGCATCACTGCCTGTTTAGCCCCGAGAGAGAGGCGAACGCACAGGTCTATGCAGAAACCAAATGATAAAGATGGCTCTGAAGACAACAAGATGCTGTGCAGAGCCAAGTTGTGAAAAAAAAAAAAAAAACAGTATTTGCATTGCCTTCCCTCTGATCCCAACGTTAGGAAAGAGTGCATGAACTTTATTTTTAATGAAGATCCAGACCGCATCAGTAAGAACTCGGTCTATTGTTCACTTCATTTTACAGCGGATTCGTTTACAAACAAGGCACAATTCGACACAGGATTTTCAAAAAGATTGAAACTAAAAGACGACGCTGTGCAGACTATATTGGATCTGACAGTAATGTCGCAACACAAGTGTAACTGTTTTCATTACATCGTCATATTGCTTTGTCTCTTCTGACAGATCGTTTGATATGAGTAGTTATGCGTTTTTAACCTAAATCACAGCAGTGTCCATCTGTGAAGGATGTAGGCTGTCAAACATACACAACTTTTACGGTGCGTTCCAAACAGGATATATCGCCCTCTGAAGGGTACTTCGGAGTGAAAAAAATCATGGCCACCATATTGAAGGGTCGTTCCAAACCGAAGTGCTCAAAACTGGCCACTTCAAAGGGCCCTTCGTAACGAAGGATTTCCAAGGGTACAACTGATGGTGATCCTTTGCGCTGATTCTTTCCATGATGATGGGGCCTCTGTGTGGGCACGGGATGATGACGCAGAAGGGCACTTCAAGAAACAGTTGTTTGGTCCCCTACACCCTTCAACCCTTCAAAGCTCTCACTCCGGAGGGTAAACCCTTTAAACCCTATTTAGGGAATAGGGATGAGCCCTTCTGATTGGAACGGAGGGTTAGTCAATCATAGCAGTGGGCGTTTACTTCAGAGTCTACAATCTGCCACGCCTATTCAAACAGAGTGTTCTGATTAGGGGGTCGAAAACAGGACAGAAAATATCCTATTACTTCTAAATTATGTTTTGATAACATTATAAGTGGACCCCAGAGAACTGTACAAAATAAAAAACAAAGGCAGTTCATGATTCCTTTAAAGGGACTTTGACTGGGACCAGCCACCTAGGGGCAATCGAAACGTTTTGGCTTCACTTTTCAGCGCTTGTGAGGCACACTTGGTAAAAACAGTCTCTTGCCGCGTCTAATGGCAAAATAATGTAACTAAAATCATCATCACGAACACACACACACACAGTTTCCCAAAACTAAATACTATTAGTAAATACTACTATTATTTATATAAAATATTATTTATTGAATAACAATATTTAATAAACAACAACAACTGCTATGGGATCAAATTCCTGCCAAATGTATTGCAGTCACGGATAAAAAATAGCAAGCGTGAAACCAAAATTTAAAAACGCAAGTAAAAATATCTTGCACAAAATTTTAAAATGAAAGTTTTCAGAATAGCAAACAATGGTCACGGATCGAAAAATAATAAGCGTAAATCAAAAATTTAATAATGCATTTAAAAAAAAATAAGCATGAATCAAAACGTTAAACATTTAAAATCATATTGCACAAAACTGAAATATTAATGCGAAATTATCCGACTTATACACAAAATCATGTTTTCCTTGGTTATATTTCTCTGTTTTTTGTGCTCTATTCTGCTCATATTTTTAATTTTTGTATGCTTATGCAGTTTTTCCCTTCGCTCTTGTTTCCATGTTCTGCACTTGCTTTTCCAAATGTTGCGGTTAGAGTTTCGCGTAAATCAGGGCGGGTTTAAGCGTCATCATTGGTCCATTAGTCAGGGGCGTTACTAGGGTTGGGAGAAAAAAGGGGCGTAACCCAGTAAAAAAAAAAAGAAAAAAAAAAGAAAGAAAGAAAATCTCTTCAATAACTTGTTTAAAATACATTTATTTCATACTAAGTAACATTCAAATCCGTTAACATATTTATTGACATATCACTTACTGATATAAAACTATAATTTGGAGAATTTCTTTATTGCACAATGCACATTTATTAATATTATCAACCTATTATATTATTAACTTAAAATGTGTTGTAATATCACTATTAACAATATTGATATAATAGGCCGAATCACCTGAAAGGGATGCAAACCCGCAGACATCGGTCCACAGCAATAGCCAGGAGGGTGAGCACTGACGCTTGCAGCGGCACGATGAGAAAACAACTGATGAAGAGACAGGCATGGAAAGGGATTTTGATTTGGATGTCCACAGTCACAGCCAGAGGAATTGCCACGGCCCCAACCAGGAAATCAGCCATCGCCAGAGACACGATCAAGCAGAAAGTGGGTTTGTTCAGGGCTCCACTTCTCCACACGGCCCAGATCACCAACATATTGCCCAGACAGCATCCCACTGCAATGAGCACTTCAAGAGAGATGTAAATGAATCCTCCACCTGATACCATTGTGATTACAGGACTGGAAGCCTCTGTGTGAGTACTAGACTGAAAGTTGCTATAACAGGCAGAGAGGAAATAGAGAGGCTATTTTTCTCACTAACAAGAAAAAAAAAAGCCTTCACACCTTCAGACCTCTTCCGGAGGAGGATCATTTAGTGGTTTTAGAATGCGAGTTACAGAAACAATTGGCTAATACTTACTTCATAATGAAGCATTACACTCGTAATATACTGAACACATACACACACACACACACACATAATTTAAATACAGAAATACATTGCCATTTTGAATATTGCGTTGCCATTTTGCATATTGCAATTTAAATTAAATTTCGCTACCTATATGCTTCCATACACACACACGCGCGCAACTTCAGATTCACCACAACAGCTGATGACACTATAGCAAGTAATGGGCAAGTAATGTAATCGGCGTACAACGCCGTGTCCCGGCATGACGAGACAAAACCAATAAAACCCATCATAAGCGAGGCATTTGTTGCATTCAGTGGGGACATAATTACTGATTATAATGACTTATACTGTCTTTTTACGCGTTGCGTTGCGTATCGCGCCTTGTAAACCATAAAACCATGTCTGCATTTGTGATCGGCGAACCCATGTGGGGGCGTGTTTAAATGAGGCGTTTTAGGAAGGCGTGGACAAGTCTTAACTTTTATAAAGAATATCTCTTTGAGTTTGAGACTTTAGTCTTTGCAACTTTACAGATCTTCTTTATGCACCAAGAGCTTGTAACACTCCAAAGAGAAAGGAAATTTTGAAATTGCATCATATGACCCCTTTAAATTTTCACAAAGTCATGCTAAAAACATTAATAAAGAGCACTAGACAAAGTTATCATCAATGATTATTAATGAAAACTATAGCAGTAATTTGTATTGTTGCATGATTAATAAACAACTGATAAAATTATCCACCCTAACCTAAAATACTACCAAATTTTGATGCAAAAAATATGGTATCCCTCCAAAACAGAGAAAACATCTTTCACAAACATCTACATGTCTGTCCCTTTATAAGTGTTTATAGTGTATATAAATAATTGTATTTGCAGGAGTTATTGAAATAGAACAATTCTTAACCCCACCCCAGACCTCACTCATTTTCAAACCCTGGCTACGGCCATGGTTCCATTCGGAAGGGCTCATCCCTATGCCCTAATCCCTTCAAAGGGTTTACCCTCCGGAGTGAGAGCTTCGAAGGGTTGAAGGGTGTAGGGGACCAAACAACTGTTTCTTAAAGTGCCCTTCTGCGTCATCATCCCGTGCCCACACAGAGGCCCCATCATCATGGAAAGAATCTGCGCAAAGAATCGTGAGGCTCAAAGTGTTCATCAGTTGTACCCTTCGAAATCCTTCATTCCGAAGGGCCCTTTGAAGTGGCCAGTTTTGAGCACTTCGGTTTGGAGCGACCCTTCAATATGGCGGCCATGATTGTCTTCACTCTGAAGTGCCCTTCGGAGGGCGACATATCCCATTTGGAATGCACCGTCCGTGTAATACCGACTACTGCAGTTAGCCTAGTGCTTGCAGTTAGCCTAGTGCTTATGTAACTTCAGCATTCTTGTTATGCACCAAATCGTGGAATGGCGGGACCTGCGCTATATTTTTTTTGACCACCCACTCCCGCCTGCAGTAAGGATAAAACCGCCTGCTCCCAATCCCAATCGGCTGCGTTCCAGTTCATTTTTTATGCCCTTTACTCGCTAACTTCCCTCCATCTCGTTTACTCGGATGTACATCATTGATTATGCTGCATGAGTGCCTACTACTGGCGCTGCTTTGCAATGTCCTATTTATTAGTTATTTGGGGTGGGGATAAATTAAATGCGATCTGCGATGATGTCATGATTGTGTTATATTGTGGTCTATGGAGCTAACTGAAGTGTAAATATAGGTCAAAATCGAGGGGGCGAGGATTTGTCCACATAAACTCCCATCGTCCAGTTCATGAAGTGGAATGCAGTTCAAAATGGCAGCGGGGATTCCCCCGAGGGGAAGTGCTTAGGGGAGTTTGCGAGTGCCTGTCTAAAATTGGAATGCAATCCGTGAATGCTAAAGCCCTGCCCCCCACATTCTTTGATTTGATTGGCCATCTCAGTCATTTTGACATGGAGGAGTGCTAAATGTGACTTTGACATTTATTAAAGGTTAGTTCATTGAAAGTTTTTCAGTCATTATAAGTGGAAACTGTTATAGAGAAGTATGAGTTCAAATGAAACTTTCTTAATCCTATTTTTGTTCTAGGGTGAATTGCAAACGTCGCATTTCTGCTAACAAGAAGGCTTGACAGTTATGAAACAACCACCATAAAATAAATAAATAAAATAAAATGAACTTACTACTTATGATTGACATAAATGATAGGTTAGAGGAGATATACCAATACTAACACTTGTTTTTCAAATCATTACTTGCCAGCATGGACAGGGTGACGTCAGTTGAAAGGAAAATTTGTTTCAGAGGCAGAGATATCATTTCATTTTGATGTCATTTTGAATTTTTCATTTTGAATTCAATTTTGATTACTTTATACCTTGCTCCAGAGCACAATAACGATTGTAGTTGACTCACTTGAAATTATCAAACCAGCAGCTTCCTGCTTAACCAGCCACGAGCTTAGCCACAATTTTATGGCACACCACTATAGGGGTGTATTGCTTTAGGTGCCAACAGAGAAATTAGAGCACATGATATTTATAAATATAGATCAAACAGCAGAGCATGGCGCTAGTAATGCTATGGTCATGGGTTTGATTCGCAAGGAATGAATTGATAAAGTCCTTGAATGCAATGTAAATTGCTTTGGCTAAAACAATCTGCCAAAAATGTAAATGTAAATAGTGGCCGAATTAATGACCTAAAAAAATGCATTATCATATACTGTTCAAATGTTTGGGGTTGGTAAAATTTTTGAACAAAATCTCTTATATATGGTCCCCAAGGCTGCATTTATTTGATAAAAAATATAGTAAAAAGATTAATATTGTGAAATATTATAATTTAAAAATAACTATTTTAATGCATTTAAAAATATAAACATTAACATTTCTAAAATATGTTTATGTCTGAAATAGAAACAAGCATTTCTTATTATCAATGTTGAAAACAGTTGTGCTACTTTATATTTTTGTGGAAACTGTGATTATATATATATTTTCAGGATTCTTAGATGAATAGGAAGGTCAAAAGAGCAACAGTTATTTGAAAGAAATCTTTCGTAACATTATAAATGTCTTTACGGTCACTTTTGATTAATTTAATGTGTTGTTGCTGAAAAAAAAAGTTAAAATCTTTAGGATGCATTAAATTGATCAAAAGTGACAGTAAAGACATTTACATTACAATGTTACAAAATATTTCTATTTCAAATAAATTGAGTTCTTTTCAACTTTCAATTCATCAAAGAATCCTGAAAAGAAGAATGTATCATAGTTTCTACAAAAATATGAAGCAGCACAACTGATTTCAGCTGAAAATCCACCTTTGATCAAGCAATCAATTACATTTTACAATATATTACGATAGAAAACAGTTATTTAAAATTGTAATAATATTTCACAATATTAGCCTACTGTTTTTACTGTACTTTTGATCAATTAAAATGTAATGTACAGATATAATAATAATAATAATAATAATTTTATTATTAATATTATACAAATAATATTTATATTGTATTAATCAAATTTTTAATTTTCAGGTACAGAGGAGCAGTCAAAAAGAAGCACTTGTGGGCCGCGGTCACTGTATGTTGGCTCTCTGCTTTTATACTAGGTCTCATCCCCATGTTCGGATGGCACAACAAAAACACCACAACAGCTGAAAACTCCACTATTACGTGTCGTTTCATCATGGTTATAGACATGTCCTACATGGTCAACTTCAACTTCCTCGCTTGCATCCTTACACCCACCATCATCATGATGATCCTGTACTTGTTACTCTTCAATATGATATCCAAACAACTGAGAAAAGGAGTCGGGCGCCCCGTGGAGTCCAGGTCGTTTTACCGTAAGGAGCGGAAACTGGCCAATTCTCTGGCTTTGGTTCTGGTTCTGTTTGTCGTTTGTTGGCTCCCGCTGCACATAATGAACGCGCTGGACTACTACACAAGTGCAGAAGTGCCCGTTGTCGCCTTTTACATCGGCATCCTCCTCTCTCACGCCAACTCCGCCGTTAACCCCATAGTGTATGCATTCAAGGTCCCTAAGATCAAGATGGCATATAAAAGCATCCTGATGAAGCTGACAAGCTCGGAGCAGATGGGAGATCAGAGCAGCCAGACTTTGGATAACAACGTCAGCAGCAACTCGAACAGCACCGCCAGGTGCAGCATGAAAATAAAACCACAGGTCGTTCTGATCGCAAATCAGGACGGTTAGCATTAGTCTGCCATCACGTACAATAAGTACAATAAGTAAGCCAGGCTAGAAGTCAAAAGTTTAAAAAAATTATCCAGCAGTGAATTTGCATATGCCTAGCTTCTAAATTAGAATTTTTTTTTTTTTAACAGTTTTAACATCCAAAATACACTGTAATTCTAGTGCTGTTATATTTGTACTAAACAAAAAAATGTAAAACTGCACTGAGATACCTAAAAACAAAGACCAACTGTAGAATGAAGAGGCTGAACTGTTTTTCATAAATTTATTTATGACATGGTATATATGTATACAAATTATTACTAAAATATCTGTAGGATATATATTTTTATACATTTATTTGTTTTGTGTTTCTTAACTTTTTATGACAACTTGCCCCACTATAGTCAACATGTGTTTCAATGAACAGTGTATATATATTTTTTTTATCTGTATATATGTTTTTATATATATATATATATTTTTTTTTTTTAATCTCACCAACAGTCTTGGCAATGAATAATGTAAATAAACTACTGTTAAAAGTCTGGGGTCAGTAAGACTATTTTTTGAAAGAAAGAAATTCATACTTTAATTCAGCAAGGATGTATTAAATTGAAGTGACAGTAAATACATTTAAATGTTACAAAAAATTCTATTTCGGATCAATTTTGAACTTTCTATTCATCAAAGAATCCTCAACTGCATCACAGTTTCCACAAAAATACTCAGCAGCACAACTGTTTTCAACATTGATAATAATCAGAAATGTTTCTTGATCAACAAATCAGCATATTAGAGTGATTTCTAAAGGATCATGTGACTGAAGACTGGAGTAATGATGCTAAAAAATTACATTTAAAAATATATTTAAATAGACAACTGTTCAATTAAATTGTAATAATATTTCACAATATTACAGCTTTACTGTATTTTTTATCAAATAAATGCAGCCTTGTTAAGCAAAAGAGACTTCTTTCAAAAACATGCAAAAAAAATTATTTGAATGGTATACATATATAATATAAATAATATAATATACATATATATAAATACTATGTGAAATAGTTTAATTTGTTATGTCTCGTGCTATCATTAAAATCCATCACAACTCTGCTTTCTAGATATTGACCTCAGTCACTTAAAACAACATTGTTTACAAGCATTTAAAAATCTTTCATGTCATTGTGATGAAAGAGGAAGAGAAACTGGCAGTCATTCTGAGCCTTTTTTTTTTTAGCCATAATGTGCAGCATGTCAGACCTTCCACATCCTTCCTTTATAACTTCATAAATTTCACAGTTAAAGGAACAGCCACACAACAATGGAAATTCTACTGTCATTTACTCACCCTCATGTCGTTTCAAACATGTAAGAATTTCTTTCTTCTGTGAAAGATGAGGTTTAGGTGTATGTCCATGCAGAGCGCTCATTTTCAGCTCTGAAAAGAAAAAGTAAACACATTTTACCAACCGATGTGCATCGTTTTATATATATATATATATGAATGAAATAAATAAAAATTGTATATATATTATATATATACATTTCTTTTTTTAAAGAAATATTCTGACCAAGAGTAGAATCACAATGTAAGATCTTAAATATTTCTTTCACGTCGTAACACTTTTTAAAATCCTTGAATTTTCTGTTTGCTCCAGGTTTAAATGAGATTATCAATGTGTTCTCAGACGGTTGGACTCTGCTGTATATTAGACTGGACGTTCCCTCTGTAGTCTCTTTAATTGATGTACTGGCATCGGGCCATGTGGAAGTGAATAATGCTGATCCTGAGGGAACATTTGGGGCGTTCCTCTGGGAGGAGTACTGGATTTTCTGTAAGATAAGTCTCAGTTTTCACAGGCCACTTTGTTCTTTCTCTATACAACGTAATATCGGCCTCGGTCCAAACAAGCGTGAGCGGAATGAGAAGGATTTACGATGTTCATCTTCCACATTATTACTTTTCCTAACATCGCTTGAGTTCATTTTGCTGAGTGAAGTTGGATAAATATGAAATGCACCTTTTGGCGCTGCGTTGAAAAGCAATATCCAAATCAATTCTCATCAGTGGAACGAAAACCAGGGGTTATGAAACCACATCTATACGCTGTATTTAATTTGATGCAAATGACAACACAGCTGCGAGGGAGAGACGTACGGCCGCTCAATATGCTGTGCACTGCTCAAGCGTACCTGCAAGTCGATTGTTCAGACAATAATGTTCAACAGACGATCCAAAACAAAACAAAAGCTCTACTGAAGGAACTACAGGTTTTGCGTAACTCGTCTTTGACTACTAACTTCTCCACTTGTCACCACACAGAAAGAGGTTGTGGCTCTTTTACAATTCTTTTTTATTGCTGAATTCCCTAACTGACTATACTGCAAATTTGACATGCATTCACTTAAAAGTTTTCTGCCAAAATAACTGACTCCAATATCTAGTTTCTGTGATATTCCAGTGTCTCTAGACATGGCTTGGGTCCCTCCTTCAGTGTAAATCTGTTGGATTTTTTCACGTGTTTTAGGGGGAAAACAAAGTGTAAATCATTGTATGAGATCCAAATAATTTGCGTCACACCCTTTATATGAGTACAATAGTTTGTATGTAATTGCAGACATTATTAGAGCACATTCCCATTTAATCTTCAAACCGTCATCATCACTGAACCTCAAGACAGACGTATATTCATTACTGCTCTATGCATTATGCTTACCGCTCAAGTCAAAAGTCCTATGGGGCCTTTGTGCTTGATACGTCGATCTCTCTTCAATTAGATGACAGCATACGTCGCCATGACAACTCAGGCTTTTATGGTTCTCTTGTCACTCGTCTCTGGAAAACTGCACAGACGGTTACGCATGATAAAGTCTCTACCAGAAGTTTTGCATGAGTGTTGCATAATGCATTAAGCAATAGTTACCTGTTTTACCTACTGTAAATTGTCCTTTGCACGCAAACAAAGGTCAAGATTAGATCGAGATGCAATGCAATTATAACCAGCTCAGTAGTAGTCGCTTAAAAATAAAAGCACAACCTCACTTCAACACAAACGGTGCATGACGAGTCACTAATCTAATAAAAGTATTGCATTTCCCTGGAAAGACATTTAGGTGTTTGCAACATCTTAATGGAATGAAACTAATCAAAGAGATTACCTTATTAAAGACATCCTTTCAGAAAAGTACAAGAACAGCATTTACTTCAAACATCACTTTGTGCTAGACAGTCTTAAAACGGTTGAAGATCCAAACAGAACATTTTAGGAGATCTTGGCAAGGTGGAGCGGCATTTAATTTCATTATGACACAGCTGTCTGAAGTACTTTGTTATGACTGACCAATCAGAATCGTCCAATTTAGGCTTTTTCCTGAGTCGATGAAAAGCTGATAATTAAAGCAGAAAAACATACATATATGTATATATATATATATGTATATATATATATATATATATAAAAATAAATAATCAATTAAAAAATAATAAAACACTTACTAAAATTGATATCAGAGAGCCGTGAAGTTACAAATGTGCTGTTAAATTATTGAAATAAAATGAAATATGAAGTAAAATGGCTGTAAGTTGGAGAATCCCTTTTTAAAATAAAGCACATCAGGGTGATTCACCAGAATTAACGTATTTATCATGTTTTGTAACTTTAAAATGAATGAGCACATAAGGATTTGAACTGAAGTATAACATAAATTCTGATAGGAAAGAAAAATCCCAAATGAGATGTCTTTAATGTCTCAGGTGTATCTTCTAGTCAATAACAATATTAAATGGAGAGAAAATGAACACTTAAACTTAAGTCTCCTGTTTCTTAGATATTTTTCCCCCTCAGAAGAAAAGACCCCAGTAAATCCCACAGGTGTCTCCTCTAGAGTTTCAGAAGAATGCCATAACGCCATTATTTCAATATGAACTCAAACATTTCTCAACAAATTCTCCCACAAATGATCTGATCTGGATCTACATCCTATATATTTTTATTCTCCAAAGAACATTTTGTAGAAACATCTACAATGTCTAGTTGATATCGCAATGAAGCTATAAGTGAGAATTCCTTCCTCTGAATAAAATCTTCCTCTGTGTCATGACTCAAAAAGAAAATCGCATGAGAGGACTAAAATAGACATGATAACCACATAATGCTGAGGAGCCCAGGGAACAAGATGAAATGATCATGGATGGCAAGTGCTTCCCTCAATACTGAGACAAATCCATTACCACACTACAATGAACATTACTGAGAAATTAATTTGATGAAGATGATGTCCGATTTCCTGGGTGGAAACATTTGAATATCAAATTACGTGTCTCTCCATGCAGTGATAGAGATGAGGCAGGAAACGGGATTCTGGGACATGCATGTGCCTGATTCAGAATTAAATCCAAGTTTTGGCTCCCTTTCAGTTCAAGAGTGTGAATTTGAATCAAATTAGCCATGACCCACGGGATGATGAACAGGAATTTGAACTGGAAAAGGAATTTACTGAACTGAAATAAGATATTTCAACAAAATGGGCAAAACCAGATCACTTTCTACGTGTCTGTTGAAGGTTTCAATCTTGTAAAACTACTTCATTTGACATATCAATTGATTTTATTCATATATGTACACTACCTTTTAATAGTTTGGGGTCAGTAAGACTTCTTTTTTGAAGGGAATTAATACTTTTATTTAGCAAAGAGCTGTTAAAAAGTAACAATACATTAACAATACAGTAATAATAAAACATTTACAATATAATTTCTATTTCAAATAAATGCTTTTCTTTTGAACTTTCTATAAAAAAATGTATGCATGTTTTCAACATAATAAAAAAATTTTCTTAAGCAGCAAATCAGCATATTAGAATGATTTCTGAAGGATCATGTGACACTGAAGACTGGTGTAACGATGCTAAAAATTCAACTTTGTGTCACAGGAATAAATTACATTTTAAAATATATTGAAATAGAAAAAAAGCTATTATAAACTAGAAAAATATTTCACAATATTACAGTGATTTGAATCAAATAAATGTAGCCTGAGTGAAATAATTTTTCAAAACTTATATAAAATATAATCAACTTTATATGTTTGTGTGTGGCATTAAACTGGAAATAAACATAGAAATAGTTAGTAATCAAAATTAATATCAGTTAATTTCAAGAAACTAAAAAATGTGTGTATGAAAACACACTCACAGCAAAGTTTTCTTCCATTTAAAATCAACTGCTTTACATTTAAATTCAAATTACCATTCCGTATCCTGTCTGCCACCGATTTAAATTCAAAAGCAGAACTGGAATTTAAAAGTAACACTCA